CAAAAAACAAATCAAACAAACAAACAAACAAACGAAAACAAAAACCAAACCACACACAAAAAAAACCCCACAGGGATCCTTTCCCTTTGGTCGAGAAGAATGACTGACAGTTTGGCCCTATTCCAGATTTCTGAGCACTTCCTGTTTCAGTTTTAAATCAGACAGCTCTGCATTATTTAAAAGGAATGCTCAGTTTAATTATGTGATTTTCTTGAATTCAGAATTAATAGAGAACATTTCTGTTCAGTGATATTTATTTTCTTCTGTCAGAGAAAAGGCCAGAACTCATTTTAAAACCTCTGTCCACTCAGGAGTCACGCTGGTTTTGCAGCACAGTTCCCAGAAATGGTAAGAAGAAAACAGCAAAAATATTTAGCACTAGGGAAACCAGGGCAAAAGGATGTAAAATACCAGAATTAGTAAAAACAACCTGCTACTAATTCTGGAAGTTCTAAGTATCAAACTGGGACTAGCTTTCATGTATAATAAACTAGGGGCTTTCAATATGTATCAGGCTGTTTCTCATCATTATGAGATCCTAACGGAGAAAGAAAAAAAGGTTACCCTTCCCAGAATTTTCTGGAGTTTTGTTAAACTTAAAAAATTCTCCTGCTTCCTGTATTACTCTGAAGAATTAACATTCCTACCATTCACTTTGAAGACTTATGAGCTCATTTCTCCAAGCCACATTCACAAGACTTGTTCTATTGGCACTGATAACAAGTGCTGCTCAAAGACTGGATATTTTGTTTCTGTTCAAAACATAAGGTGATGGATCCCACAAAAGCCGACTGAGCACTCTAAAGGAGTATTGTGGCAGAAGGAACCTTAAAGGTTAAGGGGAAATCTAGTCAATGGAAGAGCAGCTATTTCAGGCCAAGAGTTGTAATGTAGAGATGAAATCAACAACCCAATAAACTGAAGCATTTTTGGATGTGGTTGGCTTTGCAGTTATGTTTTAAAAAGCAGAAATATTTACTGCAGGAGTTAGGGATTCTGCAGTAAAACAGAGAGGAGCACATGATTAGGGAACAAAGAAGGATGACAGCAGTAGAAGTGCTTGAAATGAACAATGCCACTAGCACCCTAGAACACAGAGTATCAAAAACCCTAATTTACAAAATTATTTGAAGGCTTTAGTCAAGTCTTATAAACACTGCAAAATAAAAGCAGAAAGCCTTCTAATACTTCTTGGATCCAGAGAATGGGATAAAAGCTAAATTGCTATACCATTTGAAATTTAATATTATTCCTAGTTAAGGTGTTACACTTCTACTTTGACTTCAAGGTCACTGGTAACCATTTGTTTTTCACAGCCTAAAATATTAGACCAAGCAGGCTGCTCTTGATAGCATCTACTCTGTTCCATCTAGCTTGACAGAATCTATAAACAACTGCAGGGATGAAGAGTTCAGACCCTGATTAGTCAATACAAGTCTTAATTATTTGGACAGAATATCAATTCTTCCAGAAGATGGTATGTATTGATTTGGAGGTGTTTGATTTCACTTTCAGAAACAATTAGCAATAGCATCCACTTCCCTGAAGAGAAGTGAATATTTAACAGCTGAAGAACACAAGCTTAAGAAAGCCATCATTGAACTCCAATTAGACATCAAAATATGCTCATTTCCTTGACATGATCACATCCATCTGCCCATTACTGTTAAGTCAACATCCACCCCTACATCTATAGGAAGCACTGAGCCTGTGGGAAAATGGTTTCTGCCAGTGACAGCCCAATATCAACTCTTGGCTGGAACCTTATTTTAATAATTTGTTCTTTAACACCACCAGTTTAGTGAATATTCAGTAGACAGCATTGCTCTCCTACCAGGAAAACTTTAAATGCTCTTTATGATAACTATAAGTACGAATTTTGCAAGCTTTACAAAACTAGATCTCTATCAAGTTTTTCTTCTGCTAACCTTCCTTCATATATTTTCAATTCTTCTCTAACTAAACTGAGTAGAACTGTATGAGCTTGGCAGTCTTGTTTATTTCCTGTATCACTGCAAAATGCAAACAAAATTGAAGACTGACTCTGCTCAACTGACACTACAATTTAAAATGTAATGCATTTTCTGACAAACTTATCTGCAACCCACGTTTCTCTCTATGCCAGGTTACAAATGCTGTTTAAGTCACCATATGAGGGAACATACTTTTAGTCAGCAATTTTAAATGAATCTTTATTTTAAAGGGAGAGAGAAGCTGGCATAGATTTAGGCTGCCCAAAAGAGGCAACCAAAGAAACTAAATAATCTTGGAGGATGGCACAGTACCTATTTGGAAATCAGAATTAATGTTTGTATTTTATTTTTAAAGAAGAAACCTGATTCTAACTACTGCTGCAGGAGTCTGCATCACATAGCAAAAGCAGCCCAAGAAGCATACTGTCGATGTTTGCAAATTAAATCAACAAAAACTAGATTCAGCTGTGAAAACAGTGAAACTCTCCTCTAGCCTGTGTAAATATCACTCATTTTCCTCTCGTCAGGTGCTCTACTTTGACAGCAAGCGTTACCTCCGTTCCTCGTCTGGCTCTCAGGAGACCAAAGCTCTCCATGCAGTCCTCAGAGACCGCCAGCAGCCTGCAAACCTAGGCTCCCTCAGAGCCAGCCCCCACCGCGGCCTAATCC